GGAGATTTAAGATTTAATGACTGCTCTCTTGGGTTTTGGATTTCCATGGGAACTGTGGCACCTTTGCTTTGGCTGATTTCTCCTTTTTTGGAATGGGTGTATTCACCCAATGCCTGTATCCCCATTATATCTTGTAAGATTTTTCAGTCTCATAGGTGGAAGGGACTTGCCTTGCCTCAGATGAGACTTTGAACTGTAGACTTCTGAGTTAATTCTGAAATCAGTTAAGACTTGGGGGACTGTTGAGAAAGGATTATTGTATTTTGCAATGTGAAAAGGACATGAGATTTCAGAGAGGCCAGTGGTTTCATGATATAGCTTGGATTTGTTTCCCCATCAAAATCTCATGTTAAATTGTAATCTCCAGTGTAGGAGGAGGGACCTAGTAGGAGGTGATTGAATCATGGGGGAACATTTCCCCCTTGCTGTTCTGGTAACAGTGGTGACAGTGAGTGAATTCTCACAAGATCTGTTTGTTTAAAAGTGTGTAGCACCATCCTTTCTCTCTCCTGCTCTGGCTATGTAAGATGCGCCAACTTCTCCTTCACCTTCAGCCATGATTGAAAGTTTCCTGAGGCCACTTAAACCTATCTTTCTTTATAAATTATCCAGTAACAGGTAGTTCTTTATAGCAGTGCAAGAACGGACTAACAGAGAAGGGGTATTAAATATTCTCTAATGGTAGAATTAACCAGTAAAGCACCTATCTGCTGTAGAATTCTCCTTTGTGGGAAGATCTTTTTGATTACTAAGTCAGTCTATTTACTTTTTATCAGTCTGCCCCAATTTTTTATTTTTTCTGAGGTGAATTTGAATAGTTTGCCTCCAGGAATTTGTGCATTGCATCTAGTTTGTCTAGTTGGCATACATTGTATATAATATTCCCTTATAACATTTTTTATTTCTGTAAGCTAAATAGAAGGTCTTCCCTTTCGTTCTAAGTTAGTAAATTGCATCTTATTTCTTTTATTCCTGGTCAGTCTAGCTAGAGATTTGTCAATTATGTTTGTGATTTCAAAGAATTGATTTTGGCTTCGTTTCTTATCTCTACTGTTTTCCTAATCCCTCTTTTATTATTTTCCACTGAAGTCTCTATTATTTCTATTGTGTTGTTTAGTTTGCTTTCTTTTCTTTTTTTTTTTTTTTTTTTTTCCAGAGTCACCTCCAACCTCCTCCATCACCCAGGCTGGAGTGAAATGGTATGATCATGGCTCACTGCAGTCTTGACTTCCTGGACCCAGTGATTCTCACACCATAGCCTCCTCAGTAGCTGAGGCAACAGGTGCACACCACCGGGCTAATTTTTGTATTTTGGTAGGGATGGAGTTTCTCTATATTTCCCAGGCTGGTCTCAAATTCCGGAGTTCAAGCAATCCACCTACCTCAGCCCCCCAGATATTGGAATTATAGGCATGAGCCACCACAGCTGACCTCTCTTCTGCTCTTCTTCTTTAGTTTGCTTAACCTTTTCCAATGTCTTTGTGATAAAGATTACATTGTTGATTAGAGATTAAAATACATGTTATAATGTATTTTTATTTGTCTCAAAGTATTCTTCTGATTTTTTTATTTCTTCCTTGAGTCACTAGTTATTTAAGAATGTTGTATAATTACCACACACTTGTGAATTTCCAAAGTTTCCTTCATTATTAATTTCTAATTTCATTTCATTTTTGTCAGAGAATAGAGTTTGTATTATTTCAGTCATTTTCAATTTAATGATATTGGTTTTATGGCCTAACATGATCTATACTGAAGAACATTCTAGGTGCACTTGAGAAGAATACTTATTCTGCTTTTGGGGGTAGAGTGTTTTATAGATATATCTTTTAGGTCTAGCTGCTTTATGGAGTTTTTCTATCTTGACCTTTACTTACTACATTTGCAGAGTTTCAAGGTCAGTCAGATATGACAGCTTAGGGCCTTTCCAAGTGTTTCCTGAGTATATATAGTTTGCTCTTGTCTTTTTAGATTCCCAGAAATATGTTAAACTTTTATAAACTCCCTATGAACATCATTCTCTAGCTTTTCCTTTAAAGACTTTTGGCTAGTCAATAATTCTGCCATTGACGATCATGACAGTAGGACCATTGAAATAGGATGACAACAGTCCTTGGATGACCTTTTCATAGACATCAACATCTATATCCTCATATATAGTAAACAAGAGACTGTCTATAACAAATATAAGCAGGAGAGGAGCCCTCCATGTGGTAACTTAACATGAGCTTGGAGAAACACATATATTCAGAAATATTTGGATGGATTTAAGGAAAATTAAGAGTTTTGACAAAGTACATGAAGTCAGAGTTATGGACATTCTCTTCTGTGTGTGTGTGTGTTGTGTTGTGTCTGGTTTTTGTTTTTGTGTTTCCATTTGTACCAGACTGATGTGACTTAGGTAGCATGTCTTATTTTCCTTCCTAATGGTAATAACAATATCAACTAAAATGTATTGAGCATTAAGTTTTTTTCCAGGCATTATTATGTACAATTACAATATATTGGATCAAATTCTCACAACCCTTTTGTACAAAGATCTATTTTTGTTAAATCTATATTAAAGAAGAATAATCTGGTCAGGTAGTGACCCACGCCTGTAATCCTAGGACTTTGGGAGGCTAAGGCAGGAGGATCGCTTGAGCCCAGGAGGTGGAAGCTTCAGTGAGCTATGATTGTGCCACTGCACTCCAGTCTGGGTGACAGAGTAAGACACTGTCTCAAAAGAAGAAAAAAGAAGGACTAATTTCGGGTAAAGAGGGGCTAAATAACTCAACTAAAATTATAAGTCTAGTGTGAGTTAAAGTCACAGTTTTTAACATGGATGGTACAATTTCCAGAGGCTACACTCTCAACCCCTACAATTCACTTCCTTCTAAAAATGTAAATAGTGTAAAAGGATATTATTCATTTACCTTAGCTGTGAGAGCAAATAATTGTAAGAGTTTATATCCATTGTTTGGGACAATTCATTATCCTACAGTTGTAGGCCGATGAAACTTTCCATCACTGTGTCACTTTTCTGTTAAAATTTTTTTCATTGATTCCTCATTTCACTCAGAGAAAAATGCAACGTAGATAAATAACAAACAAGGCTCTCTAGTTTCTGCTTTCTTCTTATCTGTCACCTTTCTACTTTTACCTCACTCACTTCTTTCCAATACTTCTGGCCCCCTTGTTGTTTCTGATACCCACCTGGCAAGCTTCAGTTTTGATCTCTGCCTGGAAACTCTTCCCAGTGATGTCAACCTGAATAACTTCCTCAGCCTCTGTAAGCTTTTGCTAATAGCTTAGCTTTTGATGACACGAGTACTGATGATACTACTTAATACTGCAACTTCTACTACAGTCCTCTGCTCTTCCAATCCCATTCATATGATCGATTTTCCCCATAGCATTCACACTTTTCTACCTTTGATAATAAACACTTATTTATTATCATAATTTTTTATTGCCTATCTCTACCGCCAGAAAACTGGCTCCACAAAGTCAGTGATATGGCTTGCTTCAAAGTGTAGGTGATCATTTGTTGAGAAAAAGAATGCAAATAACTTTTAAAAGTGAAATAAACTTGAACACCAATGCATCTAACTGGCTCTGAGTACCATAATTCTCCAAGTCTATTCTAAACTTTCATCCTTTGGCTTTTGCACATGCTGCATTATCTATATAGATACTTTTCTCTCTTTTTCCACCTAGAAACTCCTGTCTTTCTGCTAAAATGACTCTTCCTAAGCAATTCTCATAAAATGCTTAATGCTTTCCTCCCATGAGCCTACATGTGGTTCAAACTTTATTTAGAGTGCCGTAAATATTGTACTTTAATCTATCTTTTAATTTTTTATTAATTTTTTTTTAGCCACAGACTCCATGACTACCGAATCTAAAACATTCATCTCTCATATTTGTGCCTTTGGCATCTAGTACAGTGATTGACATATAGTCAAGCCTTCAGTTAATGAAATAAATGATGCTTATTTCCTATTATCTATACCAAAATCTCTATGGACTTAAAATAGTTTTATGTTTATGAAAGCTTTTTACAATATAATAATATGAGCTCTGCTTATATTTATGTCCTTATAAAGACCAAAGGCTTGAAACAGAGTTGGTAGAATTTTCTTTACAGACAGCATTTGTAAGTAGGATACAGTATAAAATTTGCAAATCTAATATCTATTGGTTGTTGTGTATGTGTGTATGTACATAGGCTTCAAGTAAGAGAACAGAAAGGCGTTGAGGGCTAACACTAAACTGCATTAAAGTTATTTTTCAAGCACACTTCAAAAGAGGCCCCTTCTTCCTTAAAAGATATATAGCCTTTCTCACATGCTTCTGTCTGTCTAGAGGGTACACAAGTCAGCAACATCCATATTTTAGCAAAAGCAATCTAAAAAGAGCAGTATAATCAATTTCTCATCATTTTTGCTTTTGGTACAATCAGTAGTATATGCATAGGGATGGATTAGAACAGCTTCTGTGGAATTTTTCAAGAAAAATATTTGCCAAAAGTTCATGTATCATATTCACTTGGGTAACTATGCTCTCTCATCCTTTTTTTATAAATGGCTCCAAAAGAGCTCTTTTTAAATTCAATCATATATTATCAGAATTATGTATAGTGTCCACCCAAAGATAAAATACAAGTGGAATGTTTTTTCATTTTATATGAAAAGCTGGTGCTAGAGAATGCTTTCTATGGTAAGTTGATATGTAGAAAAATACCAATATGCAGGTTAATATTCTAATACTTTGAATTGCTTTACTTTTTCCATACAAGTTATTTATTTATCATTCTACACATGTCAGTCCAACTAATTGAGGAAGGAAATGTCTTGAATTATTATTTTAAAATTTGTTTATACACAAAAGTAACAATCATGTCAAATATTAATAAAAAAAAATTTGTTGTTTAAAATATTTCCTTGGAATTGAGAGAATGTGTTTCTATAAGATTCTAGAATGGTAACGGATAGTGTAAAATGTTAGCAGATACAAACCAACAAGGATGGAATAGAGGATTCCTGGCCTATCTGATGGCGGTTGAATATTCCGGTCCTGATCTACGGCTTGAATTGGTGGCGTAACAACAATGGGGTTCAGTTCTTCCTGAAAAAAAAAAAATTAGAGAGTTTTCTTTAGCTGCATTACTAATATTTCATGAAGAGTTGAGACAGATGTTTTAGTTTGGAAATCTATACAACATCTGAGACAGTAAACTCAAGTTTCAACATTTATAATCTAATACCTTTTGCTAGTTAATTTTGAATGTTAAGAGGAAGCAAAGTATCCTCAAAGTCAAAATGATAAGACATAGTAATTATGCACATAGACATTTATATCAGTAACTATTCCTAAAAGCAAAGCAAGGAAGAATGATAATGCATTTTTAATCTTCTCTAGAGGATTTCACAAAAGAAATAGCAGGCTATCAAATAGTTTATGAAGTAACATTTTCTCTTCTCCTTAGATAAAATTTGTAAGAATACTTGTATTCTTTCCTTGCTAAATCATTTTTTAGTTTCATATACATTAATTATATTAAAATATAAATACTTAAAGTAAATAATTTCATAAATATAAAAGTCACATTATTGCAAATTTCATATAATTAAAATTGATTTTATATTATGCAGGTATGTACATGTATTTTGCAATGGTCTATAAAAAATAATGTTTAAAATTATAACATATTTATTTAATTCAGTGTTTCCCAATTTGATGTTCAGTACTAGTCTGTTGTGCTATCAGCACTGGCAAACATTTTTCTGTAAGGGACCAGATAATAACTGTCTTTAGGCTTTGCCAACCATATTGTCTATATTGCAGCTACTGTCAACTCTGCCACTATAGCACGAAAGCCCAAGTGGGCATGGCTCTGTTGCAATAAAACATTACAAAACAGGTGGTAAGTGATATGAGGTTACTGATCACTGTGATCATAATAGTATGCTAAAAGTACAATAATAGGTATGTTGAAAAATAATAAAAAGCTTATCGACACAGATAAACTTGAGAAATATGATATTAAATACAGTTTTGAAAACCAATTAACTGCACCATGAATCTTTTCAGACTTAATTATGCTAATCTGCATACTGACTCTCTAAGAAAGGGATATGATTTGCTCACTTTCAAGAAACACCCATTAACCTCTTTTTGAAATAATACCTTTAGAACACAGTTTGTGAAACACTACTTTAAGTTTTGCAGCCCTCATCCCAAATGTGCCAGTGGTAATTCTAAATGTAAATAATTCTAAAGGGTAATTCTAAAGGGAAATTCCATTACATATTTGGGCTGAGGGCTGTGAAACTTAAACTACTGGTTCCCAAACACTTAGTATGTCTCAATATCTGACAACTTTACATTCTAAAAAATTACTGCAATGTTCTCACATTATTTCTTTTGAAATGACAGAACATTGAAATATGTCATGTACTTTTATAAAAAAGTCAGTAGTTTCAGTTCTCAGCAAAAATGTATAGTGATGGCATGCTAAAAAAAGAGCAATGATATTAAAACATTAGAATACTTAATTTTATGCTGAAAGTATAGTAAGGACAATTATTGACCAATAATTCAAACATCATAGACATTGTAGAGGTTTCTCTTGAGTTCATTGTCACTAATAGGTCCTAATCAGTATAAATGTTATCAATATTTTCCTGAAAATAAAAAGTTGTTGGTAGTAGCAACTTACTAATACTCTATTCTCTCCTTTAAATGTGGAATCAGAACCATGAAAATATCAAATTAATATCAAAATTACTCAATTAAATCCAGGAGATTATTGCTCCTCTCACACAACTCTCACTGAAACTTTTCCTCCCACACTGCCTCTCTTTCTCTCTCTCTCCCCCTCACACACACACACACACACACACACACACACGCACACACTTTTATAATAATCAATTTGCTTGGTATGCAATACCTGTATTGCTCCCTAAGTGGAATAAAAAATCTGAAGTTCTTTGAAATATGGTGTGTCTGAACATAGGAGTTAAGAGTTGACAAGCTCTTTCTAGTCATTTCTCTGAGGAATCTGATTGCATCAGCCAAAGTCAGCTTATGGTTAAGCTGTATCACTCCTGGTTCATATAATTAAATCTGCAGTATTTTTTCCAAAACTGAGGCTCTATTAGGATCCTGTGAAAGCATTTCAAATCTGAGGACTTTTTGCAGTTCCATTCTGCATCTCGTAGTCAGAAAAATATACCAATGTTTCCTAAATAATTTTTGCTATTATAAAATGAGTAATTTCTTATCTAGAAATTAAAATAAAATTGAATCTTAGCTTTTCTTTTGGAATGCTAAATGTAAGCAAATCATAATATTTGACGATATGTTGGCTGATCACCTTCACCTATTTATTTCTATAGATTTGCTAAGTTACCTACACATAAGCAGTTTTAGCTTTGTTAATTAGTAATGTAGTATAAAATATTCTTTCTATAACATATAGAGTTGTTGAAATGAGCAACAGAATTTATTTACAATGAATTGTTGTATAAGCAACATAAAAAACTAAAAATAACACATCAAACAAAACCAAGAGGAAGAGAGAAATGAAAATTAAATTCCTCATTTTATGCATTTGCTTGTTAATTAAATATCATATATATATAGTAAGAACTGAAGAAATAAAAAGAAACAAGTATATTATTTAGAATTATATTGCTAATCAGAAGGTGAAAAACTGTATCTCAGGATACTGAGCATGGAAGTGAGGGTGGATGGGATAGAAAATATTCTACATAAAGTCATTTGGTAGTGTGTGACTATGTCATTACCATACCCTGTACTATTTGTTTTAACATTAATAATAAATAAATTATAGTATTGAGAATAAAAGAAAATAAACTCTCTTGCTAAAGGCTTTCATAGGTTTCTGGAAATTTAAAGAAATGGTGTGGTTTAAATAACTTATCAGAATTGACATTTTATCTTGTCCTATAGAGACTAGCAACTTATTTTAACATATTTATTTTTCCTTCTGCTACCATAAATGAGATTGTCAGATAATCTAGGATTAAAGGTGAAAAGAATGATTTCTTAAATATTATGTGTATGATTACCTCTCAAGTAAATTGTGCTCCATGAAGCTTGAAATTTTAAAATATTGTTAATACATGACATTAAAGAATACTAAAAATTAGGATTTTTAGGATGATCTTGTTAAATATTTAACATATTTTATAAAGATATGTAGCATTGAAATCAGAGGTAGACAATTTATATGCATTCATTAGAAGAAACAAAATAACATGCATTATGTTTGAACTTCTGTCTGCCACCACAATCTCCACAGTAGATAGAACCAGGCCTGGGAAGGGTATTCATATAAGCAAGAACAACCCAGATGGAAATGGTTCCTTAGAATAAGTGAGAATTTTACAGAGAGAACAGAGGTCAAATAATAATACTATGTACGTATTCAGTTCAAGTTTTTTTGTTTGTTTGTTTTAACAACAGGGTGGGGGGGGGGGAAGCATTATGTAGTAGTAAAGTATCCAGTGCTGATGAACAAAGGAAACAGATTAAAGAAATAGTCTTTGATTACCAAGTGCCAGCATATTACTGTCCTTGATTTTATTGAAAAGTAGTATCCTTATAATGAACCTCTTTTTTCCTAAGTTAGTTTTAGGTCAGTTCTTGGACTTTAAACCTAGAGCATCAATCTAATAAAAGGCTAAAAAAAAGAGAGTAATAAATGGTGTATTGGCTGTCTTAGACACATTTACTTACTTTACCTTCTAAATTCTGTTATTTATTTTCTTTCTTTCTTTTTTTTTTTTTTTTTTTGAGACAGAGTCTCACTCTGTCGCCCAGGCTAGAGTGCAGTGACCCGATTTTGGCTCACTGCCAGCTCCGCCTCCTGGGTTCACGTCATTCTCCTGCCTCAGCCTCTTCAGTAGCTGGGACTATAGGCGCCCGCCACCATGCCTGGCTAATTTTTATAGTTTTAGTAGAGACGGGGTTTCACCATTTTGGCCAGGATGGTCTAGATCTCTTGACCTCGTGATTCGCCCACCTCGGCCTCCCAAAGTGCTGCGATTACAGGCGTAAACCACCACTTCTGGCCAATTCTTTTTCATTGAACACACCTTTATCTCTATGAAGAGAACAGAATTATTCTTGTCCATGAATTCAAGTAATGTAATCATTTACAGGATTTAGCAGATAGCAGATATTTAATATATTTTTGCCAACTTAGTCTACTGAGCTATCCAAAGAGATCACTACTCTCTAGTTAACTTTGTGATATCCACTATCCGAAAATAGTTCATCTGTGGCTACTGCCAGATCTTCCACAGTTCTGAAAAGGCGATTGATTCAGTGACTTGTTTCTTCTGAAGAACAGAGTCTCTTCACATAGGTAGTAATTGCTGTTGCTTATTCTCTGTTGTCCTCATTTATCTTAGCTTTTGACTTTACTGCCTAGATTATAGAGGAAGTACGGTATGTGTTGAAGAAATTAGAAGTCCACCCATAGCTCACATATGCTTGGGTATCCTTTATGGAAAGTATCAAAATGTTCCTCTATTTTATTATAATTGCTACATTTATCTTTTTACCAAAAGCTTGATTGGTCTGTGAGCAGAAAATATTTTATTTGTATTTATAACCCTCAGCCTAGTGCCTCATAGATTTCAACAAATTTTTGTTATCAAGTCAAGAAACACAAAATGAGCCCCCCAAACCCTGGAAGGCTCTTTTATACTTTGCCTCTGAAGCAAAGCTTCCTTCTTTGCTGTCTCGTTTGTCTTCAAGAAGAGGTCATGTCTCCTGAATTCTATTCCCGTTGATAAGCATATATTAGAAGCACACAGGATAGCAGATTTGCATTTCATTCCTGTTTGAACTGTCAGAGCTACCTTCCCTGTCTTAGTCATGGGAACACATACCTAAAGTGAATTAGGTCCATATAAAAAGATTCATATTGTGAAGTTAATCACAGAAACGATTAAACAATAACAAAAATAGTCTTCTGTAAAAATACTGTGTAATTATATGGTTATAAACCTAAAGATTATTGTATTATGAATACATGCTTCCTTTCATTAGCTTTTCTGGAGACACACCTTCTCTTTTGAGCAACGTTA